CACTTCCAGGGATGGTGGCTCGATCACTTCCCTAGTCAGTCTGTTCCAATGCTTAACCACTCTTTCAGTCAAGGACTGTTTCCTAATATCCAGCCTGAACCTCCCCTGGCACTTGCTGCCACAACCTGGACAAACACTCCAGTCCCAACCTCTTTGATCTGTCAGAGCCAACAAAAACACTTCCTCTCCTCTTGGGCTATGCAGATTGTCCTCTCCTGAGGCTGCTCTCAGCTCTGGTCACCTCCTTGCTGTAACTCTCCGAGCTCCTTTCTCTGTGTCATGTCCACTGGACCCTCACCCACTGGACAATCTTCTCACATGAACAGTTTGAAGCCCAAGAGAAATGAAATAACAGAGATCTACATAGGAAAAGGGAGTGCAGGAAGCCTGACCTCTGCACCCTCTCCAGCCTGAACAGCAAACTATATTTGTAGCCTTTGCGTGAAAGGAATCTGAACAATATCTGAGGAACAGTGAGTTTTGCAAGCAGCTCCTTCCAAATGTCAAGAGGACTTCAGGAGAAAGTGCAAACTTGTTTGAAGTGCAGCCAGCAGGCACTAAGGTGTGTGAGCCAGCTGCAGGGAGAAGGTTCTTACAAGCCAAGGGAAGAGCTGCAGCTCCAGGATAGATTGTAAAGGACCATGAAAATGAAGACAAGGAGTTTTGGCTCCACATGAAGCAGGAGAACATGCCAGCACACAAGGCAGAGCTGGGGAGACTGCTGACCCTCCAGAATACAACAGTTGTCACACTGCCTGACAGCATCACTGTTGGATGCCAGGGGAGTGTCACAACAACAGATGAGAGGCCAGAACGAGCCATAGCTGTGTGAACAGATGGGAAATGCATGTGTCTTGGTGACGAGACAGAGAAAGGATCTGTGGATCTGTCCAGACCTGAGTCTCTCTCTCAGGACCCTCTTACTGTTGAAAAACTGAGTCTAACCCATTTGTAACAAGTCTCTGTGTTCCAGACTAAGCTTAGGTTCACATAGATCCAGTAATCAATCACTTTATAAAGCTGAGAATACATTCAAGGACAATCAAATGGATTAAGTGAGTGCTGCCAAACAGCTCCTTCACTATTAGGTTCTACAGAAAAAGCAAAACCAGTGTTCACATTGCCTCAGTTTAAATTTTCCTGCTTCACATCTCCCTTGTTTACAAACACACCTAAACCAGTTGCCTTTTATGACTGAAAGAAGTACATAAGAGAAGAACATTCCCATTGCAAAACCTCATATTGAAGAGGTATAAAAGCTCTAGTAAAAGTTAATATTTGTCCCAAATTTCAAGAGTATAGTCAATAATTCTCCTTTTTAATATGTGTATAATGACAAACCCTCAAGTCATTTCAAGGTCAGGACTCTGAGCAACCTGGGCTAGTGGAAGGTGTCCCTGCCCATGGCAGAGGGTGGGACTAGGTGGGTTTTAAGGTCCTTCCAACCCAAACTATTCCATAATTCTGAGGTAGACAGAGAAGTTTCCCTGTTCTTCAGCTGTGAAGGAACTAATCCATAAACATCTCCTACTAATCTTCTGAGGCTACTGCAATATTTGCACTAAATCTTTATAGATATTTTTGGGATGATGAAAGTAAATAATATTTCTCCTGTACTAAAGGCATTTTCTGCCAGGACATATATAAATAATTAACAGAATCACAATTAGCCTGCAAGTAAGTACAGTGAAGATCAGTTTAAAAAAAAGCACTTAACAATATAATGAAGGTGACAACACTGAATTTACTATGCATCAATTAGTCTATTTAATCTCTGGCACAGCCATTTCTTCTGAAAGAAATATGAAGCTACAGAGACACAGATGTGAAACGAAGTCACCCACTGAAGACACTAAAACCTGAGATTACATTACCACAGATGCCACCAGCAAGGTCAGAATTAAAAGGTGAAGTGACTGTTCATTTAGAAATAGGCATGTGTGCATCAAAATATCAATTTATTGCTTGCCCTTATTATCTGGTCCTTATTATCTGTGAAGGGTTTAAAGAGGGATTTGGTACAGATGAGAACAATCACTCACAGCCACACAAAACCAGCACAGCTGAATCTGTTGGCTGCAGTCTGAGACCAGACTGAGATGCTCATAGGGCTGTGTGAATTATTAATGCCTGGCTGGTATCACATCACGTGTCACAAGTCAGAGGCACCTTTTGGATATTCTCCTGCCATGCTGGAGAAGAAACAATACTTGAAAGCAGAGAGGGGATCACCCCCCACACTGCTGTAAGGCTCACCTGAGCAATCCAGTGCCCCTGAGACAACTCCTCACTATCACATGTGAAACTGATATGACAAGGCTTCTTCCCCCTGAAAAGAGATAGTGGCTGTCCCCTTAGCAAATCCATTAAGAAGTTGTTTAAACAGTGGTCAGAAGCATTAAAGAAGCAGTTATAGTACTACTAGATTGGAGAAAATCCTTGCAAGGAGTAAGAAAATTCCCATCAAATTATTGTGCAATGTGTACTTGCAGTCCAAACAGCCAAACAAATCCTGGGCTGCATCCCCAGCAGTGTGGGCAGCAGGGTGAAGAGAAGGATTCTTCCCCTGCCATGCTTCCATGACACCCCATCTGGAATGCTATGTCCAACCTGGGGCTCACAACATCAGATGGATGTGAAGCTGCTGGACAAGTCCAGAAGAGGCCACAGAGGCCACAC